TGATACAGCTGCTAAGAAAGCCAATGCAATTCTAGGCTGCATCAATAGGAGCATAGTGCCTAGATCAAGGGAAATAATAGCACCACTTTATTCTGCTTTGATCAGACTTCACCTGGAATACTGTGTCTAGTTTTGGGCATCACAATTCAAAAACGGTATTGATTAGCTGGAACATGTCCAGAGGAGGGCAACCAAAATGGTGAAAAGTCTGGAAACCATGCCCTGTGAAGAGCCGCCTAGGGAGCTGGGTACGTTTAGCATGGGGAAGAGGAGGTTAAGAGGTGGCATGATAGCCATGTTTATATATTTGAAGGATGTCATGTTGAAGATGGAGCAAGCTTGTTTTCAGCTGTCCCAGAGACTAGCGCATGGAGTAATGGATTCAGACTACAGGAAAAAAGGTTTCACCTAAACATTAGCATGAACTTCCTGAAGGTGAGAACTGTTCAGCTGTGGAACAATCTGCCTCAGAATGTGGCAGAGCCTCATTTGGAGGTTTTTAAACAGGCTGGATAGCCATCTGTTGGCAATGCTTTGACTATATATTCCTTCATGGCAGATGGTTGGACTGGTTAGCCCCTGAGGTCTGTTTGAGCTCTATGATTCTACGAGGCTTGGAGAACTTGTTGGAAAACTGGGGTAAATTGTTATGTTTTTAATTATTAAAGTTTTATTTGTACATGACATTGCATGATTATTTGGCAACCAGAAAAGGAAAAAAAAAACCAATCAGAAGTAGCAACAAAAACAAGATAAGAAAAGTAATAGTAGTCTTGCTCTACAAGTCAATTAGTCATTATACATGACAATATATTAAAGAGAGGAAAGTAAAACAAAGATCCCACACTAGATGGTTTCTTCCCCCCCCCCCATGTTCTCAATTCAGATTATGCATAATCTACAAACTATAAATATCTATCCAAAATTTGGCCTGAGATGGGAATGCCTTGTTTTCTTATCTCTGGGTTGGCTGACCCTACCATTAGACAGAGCGTGATGATTTCTCATGCAGCAGATTCTAGGAGGCAACTGTGAGATGATGGAGAGCTGCGTCATGTAGTAGCTCTTTACCTCCTACAACAGCCTGCTGCTCTCAGGTATAGTGGAGAATGCTATTCTGTCAATAGTGAAGTAAGATTCAAGAATCTTTTGCAATTGGCATCTGTAAGGGGGGGGGGAGATATATGTACATTGTCCTAGCAATTTTAATAATGTACACATCCTTTTAATTTCTGTCAGAAATTGTAATGGTAGGTCTGTTCCATGGAACATATGAGACGCTATGACTTCCTAGCCTCAAACCTGTTTGCAAAATCATTTCTTATTTGTACAGTTCAGGGATGAGTGCAATTGCTTATAAAGACAAAGTGGCATCATTCTTAAACAAGAGGGGAAGTACCAGCAGGTTCAAGAAAATCCCAAGGTCTGCAGAAATACAAATAATTTCAAAAAAGAA